ACCAAGATGACAGACACAACATCAGCTACCAACTGGAATTCCCAATTAAAACGTTCAGTCACTTTTAGGCATCTAGACATTTTGGTAGTATTGTAAATTATCTGCAAGTTTTGGTTTACTAAATTCTAATCCTCAAGATTGTGATAAAGGCTAATATTTGAATATTTATTATACACTCAGTAAGTAGCCCCTTCTCACCCCCAAATCTATCTCTCTTTCTCCCTTTCTCCTTAAAATAACTTTATAAGGTAGGTAGTTTTGTCCCTAATGTTAAAATATGGCAACTGAGACTTACTATGATAAGTTATCCAAAATTATAGATAATAATAGAAACTAGTGGAGACAAAATTCACATATAGATCTAACTTATTGCAATCTTAGAACTTTACCAGTCAAGCTAAAGACTATAAGAGTCTTCAGAATAACTTATTTAGAAAAAAAACTGCAAAACCAACTCCATTTCATTATAAAATGAAATATTTCATCAAACATTTCATTTGATGCAATATTTCTTCCATTTTTTCTTATTACACTACTTTTTTCCCAGAAAGTACATCTTAAAAAAATCTGTAAAGTAATTTACTCTGATTTATTCAGCAAATTATCACCATAATGATCAATTTCTGCTTATCAAACTTATAAATCATTAATGTCAAATAGGAAAACAAAATAAGATGTCTCATATAGACAGTAAAGTTGGGAGAAAACTCACTTCATTTTTAAATTAGATTATTCTTTTTGTAGCAGCTGATGAGTTTATGAAGTAAAGCAAAAAGCTGCATCAAAAAGCCTGAACTCTATAAATTTTAACTGATTCTTCTCTGTTGACCTGACTTCATTGAGGTTTTACTTACAACGTGAGCTCAGATGCTCATAAGACAAACTATGTAGCTTAAATTATATAACAACATGGAATCTTTCTAGGTCAACAGCCTGAAGCAGTGGTCCACAGTAAATTAATTTCACAACATTCTATAAGGCAAACAGGGAGAGTAAGACATTCCCATGTACAGAGAGCCTGCCAGGAGAAGGTTTTCAAGTTATGCCTTCTACTCTGTGAGGTAGTCCTAGCCTTCATTTCCTCCAACAATATTATTTATGTCACATTTATTTTTTAAAGGGCACAGTAAGAAGCTATCTATAGATGGAAATGGTGAAAGGGAAGGAGAGAGAGATAAGGAACAGATGAGCATGGATTTGTAAACATTTTGCTAAAAGTTTTAAACCTTAAATGACCCCTAAAGAAGACTATTTTGAGATTTTTACAGATTTTTATTCCTTATTATAATAATAACGGTATCCTCCCACTAGCATACTACTTTCCAGTTGTCAAAGAACATTTAAAGTATGATGTAAACCTCGCCCTATCCTAGGAACTCATATTACTTCTTTTTGAAAGGAAAATTCACATTTGGAGAGGTTATACTTTAATTGCCAAACTGGTGTAGCTCTTGAGTGAGAAAACTCTTGGAAACTAGGTTTTCCAAGCTCAGATCTCTATCAACACTACAAATGTTAAATTTGAACCTAAGTATTCAGCCTTGTCTCCAAGGTTCTTTCTATAGGGTTGTCTTATCTGTAATTCAAGTAAATTAACACAGACTGAGTTTCCATTAAGGTTCAGTGAATACAAAGACAACAAATACAATCTTTGCACTCAAAAGTCTTCTCATGTGGTATGGAAGAAAGTATAATACATAAACCAGGAACTGCAATTAACCATGACTTCCTTAGAATATGTGTGAATGTGCAAACTAGTGAACTGGACACCTTAAGCAGATGAACTGCATGGGATGTGAATTAAATCTCAATACAGCAGCTAATAGAAAGTCAAACAAACAAACAAAAAATACATTAAGAAAAAGATTCTTGTCACCAAAAACCTAAGATAGCCACAGGGTTATTAATTACCATTGACCTTGGATCTGACTTTCAATAATACAATCTCGGCATTTTGGGGTACTGTATTTGTACAAAACTATTAACCTCTAGTCAATAAACATTCAAAGTTATGGGGCTTTATGTGTAGCATTCCTAATTTCATTGTTGTTTCAAGTAAACATTGAATTTTTGAGATATACTTTCCTAAAATAAATATTTTACTTAGCTGACTGAAATTACTACTTATTTTTTTAAAGCAAAGGGAACATAAAGTAAAATATCCAATAGCTGCACTAATGTTGTTATGTAAGCAAAGACAGAGGTCCTGCCCAAACAAAGCATGCCCTGGTGGCAGGACCACTGTGGAGCAGTTCCAAAGAGTCAAGTTCCTGCGAAGTGTGGGCAGGATCCCGCCGCCCACTGCCCAGCCTCTGATTCCGTGTGAACTTTTCATTTTGTAGGTGAGGACAATGAAACACAAAGGTGTTGCCACCTTAGTGTACCCAACATCACACAGAAAACGATCACAAGCGGAAGTTTCCCCACCCACTGCTCCACTGAGCTGGGATTACCTGGTAAAGGCTTCATTGCCTCAACACATAGAGATTAAGTAGGTTCTATCTACTAGACATCGTTCTAGGCAATATAGGTATGTTGATAAAAATCACAGACAAAAAATATACATGGTGGTACAGAAGAGAGATAAGAAGTAAGCCTAAGTAACTAAATAAATAGGATAGTAATTAGTTGTTAGGCAGAGGGTTAAAATAAGTCATGGAGGTGACTTGGGATTCTGAGCAAGTGCCATTAAATTGAGCCCCACAGGGCTGCTGGTGAAGATGGTGGGAAGAGAAATCCAGGCATTAGACCAGCTGGCAAAAAATGCCTGAAGGCAGGAATGAGCTTTAAGTGTGTGAGTAAAGTAAAGGAATCCATGATAATTCTTTGTGTCTGATTTAAGTAACTGGAGGGATGGTGGTGCCAGTAGTTGTAATCGGGAGGCAAGGGAAAGAAGCAGGGTTTGCAGGGGAGATTACCAATTCTGCACTGAAGTGCTGCAGTCCATGTGGGAGCCAACAGTCCGACACGACTGAGTGAGTGAGCTGAACTGGACAGGCCATCAGGAGGGTGGGGACGTGTCAGGGATAGGACTAGGGGAGTAAATGCTCTCTGAAGAAACTCACTGGTCTAGTGGTCTGGTGGTTACTGCCTGATTTAAGATGCTTAAGATGCATTTTGGATCCCAAAGAGACAACCAAAACAGAGTGGTATAAAAGGATATGTTTGAGAGGAGGCAGAGGTAGAGAAAGCAGGATTGATTAATACAATAAAAAAGGAATGCTTCACTGCAGAAAAAGGAGTTTGTATCTCTGAGCAAGTTGTGATATAATTTTAAGGATAAACCCTAATTTATTTAATTAGATTCTACCAGAAAACAGGTATTAAAATCTATTGGGTACCTTCTTTTTTGAATAAGGAAAAGTACAGTATGTTTCCTCTGTGTGGCCTAGTATCAACCTTACATTTTAGTAACACTAAACAACAACAGTGGCACAGTGAGCACCAACTCCACCGATCTATCTTCCATGCTGAGGCCTGTTCTCAGTTGCCTATGTGAATAGGACACATCCCTCCTGAAGTTCTCTATGGGCTCTTATTTCTATTATCAGAGAATTAAACTCCTCACCGTGGCCCACAAGGCACTGCATTCTGGTCCCTGCCAATTTCTCCAGCCTCATTTATTGCTACCTCTTGCTCACAGAATCAGCTAAATTTTCTTCTCAAATACACCTTGTGCTCACTCTACTTGCTAATGCACTGTCCTCGACCAGGAAGAGACAGAGATGCTTCCTGCTCATCTCTTCCCAAAGTGAACTCCTACTTATAACTTCAGTTCTTTGTCAAGATAACACTTCTCAGGGGAGGTTCCTCTAGAAAACCTGCCTTACCCCTTGTCCCAAGTCTGACTTCAGAGTTTCACCTCTAGATAGCCCATCATCTTTCAGTTCAGTTCAGTTGCTCAGTCATGTCCAGCTCTTTGCAACCCAATGGACTGCAGCATGCCAGGCTTCCCTGTCCATCACAAACTCCCAGAGTTTACTCAAACTCATGTCCATAGAGTTGGTGATGCCATCCAACCATCTCATCCTCTGTCATCCCCTTCTCCTCCGGCCTTCAGTCTTTCCCAGCATTAGAGACTTTACAAATGTGTTAATTCACATTAGGTAGCCAAAGTATTGGAGTTTCAGCTTCAGCATCAGTCCTTCCAATGAATATTCAGGACTGATTTCCTTTAGGATGGACTGGTTGGATCTCCTTGCAGTCCTTGGGACTCTCAAGAGTCTTCTCCAACACCTGACTATCCCACATGGTGACCGTTTGCATATTTGCCGCTGTCCTCTATAATATTGTTGAGGGCAGGAACCATGGCCAGCCTGTTCGCTGTTGTATCTTTTATACTGAGTGCAGTCTGGGTATTTAGCATTTAGGGCCTTAATATACATTGACTAAGTGCAAAGAAAACTTTCTACAAGATTTTAAGTTCCTAGAGAGCAGGAACCCCAGGCTGGTTAAACATTCTACCTTCACCTCTAAACACAATGTTGGGTGCTCAAAGAAACTTAACAGTTTTTCAGCTGAGAGCTGTATCTGCCTTGCTTTACATTCTGTGATTTGAGTATATTGACAGTGGAATTTCTGGTGAAGTGTCCTGCTGTTGTCCTTGTACCAGCTTTGGCCAGATTTTAACCTGCCCATTCTAAGATACAATTTCTAAGCCTATGAAGACAAATATCTGAACAAATATCACTCATCCACCCTCTTGATGTGATCTGATTTATGCCATAAAGTATTCCTACATCTAAACCTTGTCCTACAAATTAAATACTCACTATTATCCTGCAACTTAAACCATTTGATTAAAAATATATGTATCTCTTCAGTAGGTTTAAATACTTTGTGATCATTATCTTTCTACAATGCAGAAATAAGTTTTAGAACTAAACTGATCACAACAATCAATGTTTTGATGCATTGATTCTTCACATTTAAAACCAAGAACACAAAATCAGAAGTTAACTAAAATGCATAGTCTAATAAATTTAAATATTTGTAATTACCTTCTAGTGCATATTTCATATCCTGAGCAAAAAGGGTCCACATAATTTCAGCACTTATTTTTCCCATGTTCAGCTCTTGAGGAAACCTAAAATCAAACACATACATTAGTAGATCAAAAAGAAAAAACATGTGACTGAGAAAAGAATACACTTTATATTACACATATATCACAATCATTATTATATAGTTTATAAATACTTTTACTTATGAGATTTCTCTTTATCAATTTCAATGGTATGGAAAAAAGCTACACATGAGTGCTGTTTTTATCACAACAGCCATTTTTCTTGAAGCAAACTTGAATGCTTCCATTCTGTGCTGTGCTTAGTCATTCAGTTGTGTCCGAATCTTTGTGACCACATGGACTGTAGCTTCCATTCTATATTTACTTAAAGTAAATTATTTCATCAAGATTCCTTACTCCTCTGGTGAAATGGTCCATGGTAGGCCCCATTAGTCAGGATTTCAGAATTAACAGGCAGGCTGTGTTTTTTAGATCTAACAAGCTTAAGCCAAAGACAATATTCCTACTGCTGCTGAATATGAATTCTGTTTGTATGTGTTTTCAATCTCATGATAAGGCTCAAAGTAATGTAAGCTCAGTGAAAATAATTTCATTCATTATAAACACTCAGCCCTTGATAGTACATAAGAAAGTATGTTCTGTTCTGACAAATATATATATATTAAATTTTATGCATATTATTTATAAAATGCACACATATATATCTACATACACATAAACAAATATATATAATACATATATATTACATATATATACACACATATAATACATATACATACATAATATTAATATATATAATACATATATAATACATAATGATGTATGTATATGTATATAAGGATATACATACACACACACACACAGACATATACATATATATGTAAAGTAACAAAAGCAGCTCTCACATTCATTTATATCTTTGAGTCCAAATCAAAAAAATGAAAAAAAAGAAATAAATATAATCCTGAATGGGATATAAAGAATTAAATAAATAAATATGACCTCAGGACAACCTCAACAAAGAAAAGACCATGGTTCCTACATACTACTTCACCAAAGCAAAGTGTGTTTTATCAAATGTTCTTTCCAACTTCCATTTATCAATTTATCTAATAATTTCAACTGATACTTTAAAACTTAAATGTGGAAGTATATTTATTAAGTACTTAAACTTTGAACACTTTCTATGATCAAAAAATTAATATAACCTACATATACACAAAATTAGTTTTCAACAATAAATTTTACTCTATTAATATAAAAATAACCTTAAACATGTATTTCAAAAGGTTTCATTTGTAGATAGCTATAAACATCCCACAATTTATAGTATGTTAATTTTTATGTAATATATGCACAGCATCAACACTATAAATGTATAATTAGAGTGATTAAGCTCATAAAATGAGAAAATTTATTACATTGATTTTTTTGAATCCAGAAAAAAGAATGTATTAATTAAGTGTATGGTGGTCTGATACAAAAAACAAAGACACTGTACAAAAAAGTAAACTAAACCACATTCTCTCTCATAAAATTGATGTGGAAATCCTCAAAAACAAGTGACAAATTCAATTTTGCAATATATACATGGATAATACATCATGACCAAGATACTTATCCCAGAAGAGCAGCATGGGTTCAACACTGAAAAATGAATCAATGTAATGTATCATATTAACAGACTAAAGAGAAAAACTTTATCATCTCAATAGGTGAGTAAAACATATTTGGCAAACCTCAACAATTGTTCATGCTTAAAAACAAAACAAACAACAAAACTATGAAAACTAGGAATTAAAAGAAATTTCTTTAACCTTATAAACAGAATCTGCAAAAAACCTACAGCTAACATCATACTAATATAAGGATCAAGGCAATGGTTTCTACTCTCACTCTTCCTACTAAACATTGTACTGGAGCTCCTAAAGATTGCACACAGTCAAATAAAAGAACAATAAAATAGGTATATAGATGGCAAAGGAAGAAACACTCTATTTGCAGAAAACAATAATATAAATCCTCAAAATACTACAAAGTAAGTTCAGCAAGGTTACAGAATACAAAGTCAGATACAAAAATCACTGTATTTCTATATTCTAGCAATGAATTATTGAAAACTGAAATTAAAATAACAGTATCATTTACAATAGCACCAAAATATATTAAAAACTTAGGTATAAATCTAAGAATATATATGTACAAGATTTATATGAAGAAAACTGCAAAGTACTGAGGAGAAACATCAAATAAGACCTAAATAAATGGAGAAATATATTGTGTTCATGAACTGATATACTTAATGTCATTAGAATATTAATTCTCCCAAGCTGATTTACAGATTCAATGAAATCTCACACAGAATTCTAGCAGAAATTTTTCTGTGGAAATTGACAAGTTCATTCTAAAATTTACATGGTACAGGAAAAGAAACAGAAGAGCAAAAATGGTGTTTATTAAAATAGCTGAAGGTTTTACATCACCTATCTTTATAGCTTACAATGAAACTATAGTAATTAAGACACTGTATCTTCAAGGTCAATTAATTTTCAATAAAATGTTACATTAATTCAATGGAGACAAGGTAGTCTTTGCAATATGTCTGCTAGAGTAGTTAAATATCCCTATGCAAAAAAAAAAGTAAACCTCGACCCAAACTTCACATCATACAAGGAAAAAAAAAGGACTCAAAATGAATCACAGACCTAAATATAAAACATAAACTAAAGATTTTCTAAAAGAAAACACAGAAAATCTTATGATCTAGGATCAGGCAATGGTTACTTAGATCTGTCACAAAAAGTGCAAACCATAAAATACTGATATATTGGACTTTATGAAAATTAAAATCTGCTTTTATAATGATACTGTTGACAAAATTAGAAGAAAGGCAATTGACCTGCAGAACACATATCTGAAAAAGGACATATCTGGAACATACAAAGTACTTTCAAATCCCAATAATAAGAAAAAAAAATTACCCAACAAAAAATGGGCAAGTGATTTGAATGATAATTGAGCAATGAATATAATTAGATGGAAAATAAGCACATGAAAATATGCTCAACATAATTAGTCACTAGGTACTCCCAAATTAAAATTATAATGTGACATCACTACATGTCTACTAAAACAGCTCAAAATAAAACAAAACAACACAACACCTAACAATATCAAGGGCTGGTGAAAGTGTACAGATGCAGAGAAGTTTGAATTCTGATATAAAGCTGCTGAGAATGCAAAGTATGACAGTCCCTTTGGAGAGCAGTTTGTCAATCAAGTTAAATATACACTTATCAACAGTCCAACTCCAGGCATTTATCCAAGAGAAATGGAACATAATTTTACAAAAACTATATATTTTGAAATTCATCCTTTCAGTCAATGAATGGATAAATAAACTGAGCTATATTTGTAAAATTGAATCCACTAAGCAATAAAGAAGAATAAAAAACTGATACATGTAATAATGTGCATGAATCTATCATAAAGATACAAAGAAATTCACAGGGATAAAAAGTTCTAATAGTTAGGTTTGGGCAAGTAGAGAAGGGAATTGAATTCAAGGAGGCATATGTACAAATAAACCTTCAATCAAGTTTGTAATATCTTATTTTAGAAAAAAATATAAAAATTTTATATCAGTAAAATAAGAGGTAATATAATAAAAATGAGTGTTAACATGTTTAGCATTTAATAAGTAACATTAGTTAATAAGTCACTATTAATTGAAGGCTAAGTACTAAATAAAACACACACAGTCCTTGCCCCTCAGAAGTCTACAACCTAGTAGTACAGATGACAGTAAAAACAAATATATACATTACATATATACACACACACATATATATTTTATTTTTATACACACACGCACACACACACACACACACACACACATGCATTTGATAAGTCCCACAAAGAAGCTAAAGCCTGAGAAGGTTGAGCTGGTTGTGGAAAAAAGTAGTTCTGGAAAACCAGGAGTTTGGAGAAAACTCCTCCTCCTCTTTACTGGTGCTTAGGGGCTGTGAGAGCAGCTTATTTTCAATGGAGGGTCACTGCAGCCTGCACAGAGATGGGAAGCAGCAGTATGAACAAGTTTGGCAAGAGAGGATTCAGAATTTCTGTTATCAAGCAGCAATAGTGACAGGACACTTGATGTATGCTGTGAGTGATGGTGACTGCCATGAGAGCAAAGAAGAGCAACAGGAGGAACAGGAACATGGATAGTAAATAGAAAAGGAGAATGCAGAACAGCAACGGTAGCTGAAAGGATGCAGAGGAGCTAGACCAGTGAACAAGGGCAAGAGCCAAAGATATCCTGAGTGACTTGTTTTTATGTTCTGCCGTCTACATTTGGGTTGATGTGATCTTAAGAAACAAGGGTCACTACTATGCATGAAATAAACAAGGACTACTACCATATAGTACCCGGAACTATATTCAATAAAGGAAAAGAATCTGAAAATTTTATATATTTATAAATATATATATACATATATATAACTGAACCATTCTGCTGTACACCAGAAAATAACACAATACTGTAAATTAACTCTACTTTGGTTAAAGAAAAAAACATGGATCACAATGGAAAGGCACGTAGTACTTACTTAGTGCTAAGTACAAATTACTTGACACAATAAAGCTAAGAGTACATGATGCATAAGAATATCTGGTGCAATCATTCACAGAGGTTACTTGAAGAAAGTAAGATTTGTATATACTTTTCAAGGAGGATAAAGATTAATTGGTGGAAGAGATAAGTTATGCACACTAGTTCATGGTTATAATTGCCATAAGAAAAAATTCTTAAAGCAACTTTTGAAATATTTTCCTTTAATCTAGACTTTTTAATCAGATAACTTCCAAACAGAAAATCTAAAAATAAGCTATTTGTGTCAGGATTTTCTCAGTTGCATAAGCAATGTCAAATTTGATTTTCATTCTTGTGAAACTAAGGTTTAAGGATTCTCATTATTACTGTTGAGCAATTATAAAATCCTAAACCAAAACCAAACTGCCATTTAAAATAAAAACAGCATACTAGAAAAATATACACT